TTCTCCCGCGGAGCGGCTGGTAGTTTCGAACCGCTGACCTTAAGGTTCGCAGCCCGATTCGTAACCACTACGCTACCAGAGCTCCTTGTAGCAACCCTATATATAATAGGGTTGCTGAAGCTTCGTCTTTCTCCCGTCAGCATTATAGCCTAGAAAATCCTAGGGAGTACCCCTCCTCTGTGATATGAGTTGCTACGAGTAGGCTCAATAACACCTAGCAACTCTCATAGATCACCTGCCACTGGAAACTGTCCACAAAATTTAAGGTACATACACACCCACTTTCAGCAAAGCTGGTGCCTGAGCTAAAGTCACCAACATGGGAGAAGCTAGCTGCTACAGCTTTTAGTGTGTTAACATTCTCTCATTGTGCTCTCTTCTTGTTCCCATTCTGGTAGTCTAGTTTCCCTGCCCTCTCACCTTGGCCTTTGAGTAATTAATTGTTGACCTTTTGGTCTCCTGATGATGGTTTTTAAGTAGGGTGCCTATCTTAATGGGGGCCACTCAGCTACTTCGCTAAAAGGTGATTCAGGATAGGCTTGGTTCTGGGTTTAAAGTCTCAAGAGAGTTCTTTGTTGTTGCAATTTGACTTTCTGGGACCAACTAATGTGACCTTGGCCAGAACAGGCTATGGTGGTAGCCAGGCACAGCCTAGTTCTCCGGGGGTCTCAGGAGACATGAGGTCGTGGCTCATGTAAACGTCCTTCTCTGAGCTTTTGGTTACCTTCTTACTGCTTTACTTCTGGAGAATAGAGACGTGTAGTCTGTGTCTTAGATTGTTGCTCTCAAGCTTTGAAGACCCCGGACAGGTTACTAACTTCTTGATACCACGTAGCTGGTCATTGTGTTCCTGGCTGCCTGTTATAAACTCCCATCAGTATGCCAGGGGTGGAGCTCCCTGACACATGACCCTCTAAGACAAAGCAGAACTAACCAATGGGGTTGACTAGGCTGTCATCTTCCCAGAAGTACACTACCACATGTTTCTCTCCTTCACTGGCTGGTGGAGTGGAACTGCTGACCTTTTGGTTAGCAGCCCCACCAAGACTCCTCGATGTTTCACCAGTGGGGCAGGAAGGAATCCCTATTTGTTCCCAAATAGAAATTACGTCTAAACTGATGGCTCAGTCTTTGCTGTACTCCTCACTTGATCTCATTTTAAGAGTCCCCTCTTTTGAGCACTATGGCTTTTGTAGGTAAAGGGTGAACTATGTTCTATCAGAGTTATTTTCTGGGATTTTTTAATAATGGAGGTAATTAATTGGCTACAAAAGAGAGAGCCCCATGTATATTAAATACGAGGGTACTTTAAAACATTTGTGGAACAATTCCATTTGAAGTCCCCTCCTAAAGAAGGAGGAGAAAAATTTAAACCCATGGTCCACCTTTGTTTCTGCTACTGAGATTTAAAAAGATAATATTTGGGTAACTGCCATTATCAAATCCATGGCACAACTGAGTAATGATTTTTTTGTGGGAAAAAGCGTAGTATGGCTCAGGTAGACGCGTCTTAAATTAAAATGGTGTCAAATATATTATTGCAAAACCAAAGCAAACCAAGCATTTAAAACAAAAGTCCGTCTGTTCTTGGTGCCCTCTCATCCGACACCACCTGTTTTCTCTTGTAGTTAATGAAATTATCAGGAAGGAGTTTTCAAGACCTCCCACCAGAAATCAGACGTAGACGATGCCATTAGCAAGAAACCTTCCATATCTGATCCCTCGGAGACCTTCTACTGTGCCACACCTCTGTTCCCTTTCCATCTCTCGACCCGGTGTCCACTGCAGAACAATGTACTGGCTAACATAGACTCTACACACAGGAGCTCGCCATCTCCACTCTGTAAACACCAGAGAGAATACTCTTCCTTTTGGTTTTGGCTCCAAATCACAAAGAACATCCCTGTTGATCCTAATGGTGTTCCATCCAAATCCTTAAGTGCCTGCTGACCCAAAGCAACAGCCCCACCCCGGTCAAGAGAGCACACTGGAACGAATCTGCAAACAGAGTGACCAGATGGAATGGGGATGGAGGATGTGGGCATAAGAGTAAAGCCCAGCCCTTGCGTTGTCTTTTCCAGATCACAGACACAGCTCCTGAACCTTTTGAAGGAAAGGAGTTCTCACACCAAGCAACCAAAGGAACGTGGCCTGAGAGTCTGGCTCACAGGCTTGAAGATGCTTTCAGACCATCGACTCTAGGGATCGTCTATCCTGTGCCACAACGGGCCATGGCTCAAGCTTTACCTTTCATTATTTCATTCCCAAACAAGGCTGTCTGGCTAACAGAAATCTCCTGTTCAGACTTCTCGGCATTAAGTTAGGACACTTGTATACGTCTTTCTGTTTTACTGTTTTCCTTCTGCTTCAAAAAGCTGGTGAAGAAGAGCTCAAGCCATCTTGGTCAGTTGCTGTCTCCAGCAGCTGGCGCGCGTGTGGAGTTTTCACAGACTGCAGAAAGTTAACCGGGGCTTGTGGTAGCGAGCACCCCACCAGCCTTGCTATACAACCTAACGGCTTTTCAAGGTCTCTGCTTGCTCCCGACCAGCCAGAGTGCTTTTCTAGAAAATAAGTTTCAAGTTCTAGTTTGTGCAACGGATTTTAAGGAGGAATGGCAGAGATGCTAAGCAACCAAAGAATCCATAGGGCAGGTCATTCTGGAGACCACCTCACTTTTCTACCCTAGACCCCAAAATATGGGTGACAGGATTGAGTCCCCCAAATTCTTTGGCCATGTTTTTTGTTTTTTGTTTTTTTTTAAACCTGAATCTATCTTAAGCTTCTGTTGGTCTCAGAGTACTGATCCTAAAGACCAGCCTGCAAGCTGCGCGCCCCCTGCCCCCCTCGTCTGAATGAGCTCTGTTTCAGTGGGTTGGATACTGTCATTTCTTCTCACCACCGGGCAGGCAGCTACAAAGGTGCCTGCCAACAGTCTTCCACTGTTGGTGCCATTTTTGCAAACAAACAAAACCCACCAAGACCTTGGCATGTGAGTCTTAAATCCACAGACCCTTTTCTCTTGGCACTTACTGCAGACACCCCGGAACAAGCTGAGGCTCCGGCTGCAGGCATTCTCTTGTTTCCCCAGTCAGCAAGAACAAAGTCTAAATAGGCCTGTTGGTAGGTGCCTTTGAGTCGATTCTAACCTTACAGGACACAGTGGGAATGCCCCATACAATTGACAGAAGTAAACTGCCCCAGCTCTCTCCCTTGGAGCTGCTGGTGTGTCTGAACTGCTGACCAATCACACACATTAACAGCAAGCACTTAACGGTTGCATCACCAGGGTTATTTAGCACTCTCAAAAAAGACAGATTTCTCAATCAAATCTGTCAGGCAAAAAGCCTGAGAAGAGAAACAGGGGTAGGGGGCATTCCCACTATGTTTTTTTCTAAGTCCTGCCCCTCCAGCCAAGCTCTCCAGAGTTGAGACCTTCGGGGAGTCTAGCCAGGAGCCCAAGGACTCAAAACCAGTCTGAGAGACTCCATGGTCCTGGCACTGAAGGGCTCTGCCCTTCTTTAAGTTAACACCAGCATTTATGTTTTACCCCTTTCTTCAGCCACACCCCAAGCACAGAGGAGAGTAAAATTCTCTTTTGAACAAACAGAATGCCAGTCAGAAGTTGACCACTGCCGCAGAACTTCTAGGATGCTAACTAACTTCTTTCTCGTTATCAAAGAAAGTTCCTTATCCAAGAAGCTTGACCTAAGGAATTTCTCCCTGCAGCAATACCGACTTCACAAGAGACGAGCAAGAGAGTGATTTGTTCTCACTTGGCCTGGCCCACAGCCATCTTTGCACATGAGGAAATTTGGCCTTTCCTCGGTTATCTGAATGTTTTACCCAAGTGCCTTCCTGCTATTGTAGCAAAGTAGCTCAACTCCATTGTCCACGGGGTGAAGAAGGACTAATGCATTTTCCATCCACCTTCTAACTAACCATGTCAGTGAGACAAGCTTCCTAAAAGCTCAAATTCCTGTACATTCACATGTATGTATGTGTGTGTGTATGTGTGTATAATATGCATACACTGCTCTCTTATCTACCACATCCTAGCTGGATTTTGTAGCAAACACTTTCATAAATAGCTATACCAGATAACAAAGGAAAGAGAAACGCATGAGTCTAAAGACACTTACTTATAGGCAAGAGAAAGTGAATTAGGAACCGACAGCTCTCAAAGTTTTGTCAATTACAAATGCCAGGAGGGAATTTTGCTAAGATCTGATGCTCATGAACCATTCTCTGTGTGGGAAGAGGCAATATGGACCCTCCAAGAGAAAGAGCAAGGAAGGACGTCTAAATGGTGAAAGATGGGGATGTTGCGGGGGTTTGAAAGGTCAAGGTTGGCACTTGCTACATCCCAGCTCCTGTAAATATGTAGCACATTTGCAGAACCCTATCATGTTGCTGAATGTAGTTTGTTTCTAACAGTTGCAAGTCTTCCTGTATTGTACAAAAATACTGCTGCTTGATAAATATGTAATAGCAATCCAGACTAATGAGTATGCTATGAAATTTTTATTTTCTTATCCCTATGTGTATGCTTTTTCATCTGTCCTCCAAATATCATATACCCCTGTTGGAATTAGAATATATTTATAAATGGTCAGGATTTGGTCTTCTAAATGTCTCTTTTTACATATATGTTGATTTTTTTTTTTTTTTTTTCCCTTAAGAGAAATGATGTATTCTTGGAAACTTTGTTATTCATTTAGAACAATAACAATTCAGAAACTGTTTTCTGGTCATGTGTCTTCCACCAGAGACCATCTTGAAAAAAAGGAGGGGGAAGGACCCACCTCTTTTTTGCTCGAGAAAGATGCTAACTTCCCTTCAGCCCTGAGCCCCGATCTAATGCATGAAGAGAACTATATTTAAAGTGTCTAAATCCCCTAAAGTGATTGAATTGGATATTTGATTTTTATGGAAGCCATACCTGTGTTGTAATGGGATTCAAAACTAAAACAATATTTTAAAAATTCCTTTAGGTCGGCTAATGCCTAAAAGAGTTGACCAAATCCTCCTAGTAGACAAATGTCATACGCATTACTCAAAGGATGCCCAAAGTCTTCCAGCATCGACACGGCCCGGGATGAATTGAGTGGATTCCTTCTAAGAAATGGGAAGTAGCAATGTCATTCTTCTTGTTTACAGCCGGCAGTTAAGACATCTGTCTCAGTCAGCCAGCCTTGGCCAGCGGGGGATCTGTCACACCGTGCAGATCGGAAGCTGATGTGTTCTGATTGTGACTCGGGACTAAAGGGACGCTGACTGTGTTTATTGTCATGTCAAAAATTTACTTTCCAAGTACTTTTTATTGTTCCGAATAGAAAACATGTCAGGAGTTTACTTGACAGCGCTGTTCATTTTGAGTTTACATGAGGCACGTGGCTGTGATATTCTTGACAAGCTTGGGGGGAGGGGTAACCTTTCCTCAACTCATTTCCTCAAGGGACTGCCCTGGAGCCAGGTACCCAACACATCTTAACCTTGGGACTGAAGCATGACAGTCTCATGGAACCAGACCAGCTAATTGCATGAGGTTTTCATGCATTCCAACGCCATGTTTAAGGAAAAGAAAACCCAAGAGCTGTGAACCTCTCAACATAAGTCTTGTGTTTTCACAAGTGCCTTCAGTTCGAGCCAACCTCACCGTCTTCACTTGGTTTACATAAAAGCAAACCTTTCTGGTGAATAACAGATGTTTCCTGCAGTCTCTTCAGAAAATGAAGTCGGGGGAGGGGGGATTCTGGGAGGTCAAAGTGAAAGGTTTCACACTCCTGCTTTCACACTGCCATTAGCAATTAGGACCACAAACTTAGCATCCTCACCAGCTTGTCAGAGAACCTCACTTGCCCCTCTGTCACCTCAACAGCCCTGAAAAAGCAGATGTGGAGCCCTTTACAGAGCTCTCCTTGGGTGGTGCTGGAAGGCTTGGGATTTGAACATCCTGACTGTTAAAAAGGAGTTTGAATACATCGTGTTCCTATGAAAACCGTTTTTAATCTCCAGTGTAATGTAGTTTATTTTTGCTATCTGTAAAGTATTTTTATACGGCTTGTATCATGATAGTTTAGCAATAAAAACGTTGAAAATAATGGCTACTTTTGTGTCTCTTTGCATCTCAAAAGAAGTTGCTCAGATACCGCCTCCCTGTACACTTTAGGTTCATACATCTTAGACAGGTTTTTCTTCATTTGGCACTGCCGTGTATACACATACTCTTCACTATGACCCTGAGAAGTTGGGACTATCCTATTTTAGCCGCTTGCCCGTGGTTGCCAAACCAAGTCAAACCAGGATTGGGTTGAGTGTCTCCCTGCTCTTTTTATCACTACCTTGTGCTGCATTCTGTTCCTCAGTGGGCACAAAGGTAGGACCAATTGTAACGACGGCACAATAGCAGGTAACAGTTCATTCTGTCACAAGAAGACCACTCTGAGGTGGAAATGGCTCGATGGTCCATATCACCACCACCTATGCAGAAGTAACATCCAGGTAGACTGAGATGACATGTCAGATGGGTCTTCCAACTTTGGAAGCCAGAACCCCTCTTTGCATATGCATTTTGAAAAACTCCAAGGTGAAAGATATAAATGTACTGTGTACTCTCAGACCCACAAACAGAGTTAAAAGTAGGAAATACTGGAAGTCTCCAAGGAACCCTGGTAGCGTAGTGCTTATGCATTGGACTACTGCTCCCGTAAAGATTTACAGCCTCGGAAACCCTGTACAGGGTCGCGATGGGTCGAAATCGATTCAATAGCACTTAACAACAACAACAACTACCTGCACAGGTCAGCAGTTCAAACTCACCAGCAGTTCTATAGGAGGAAGATG